AACCATTATATATGGTATTATGCTCTGAACCAGATATATATATATATATATATATATACTTCTTCAATATATTAGACACCTGGTAGTTGCCACTTGTACAATATTTGTGCAATCGCAGCAGTTGAGGGTAAAACATAACGTATAAATAAAGGATCTGCTTTTCTGTTAATACATATGGAAGATTCATATATTACGAATTACATTATTGAAACTTATTTAAGGATATTTAAAAGTTGACTGCAGTTTCGTTCTATTTTCTAATTTGTTTGAGCATACCTTAATTTACGCTATATGAAGGCATCTTAGCGTCTGGAATAATGGAATAATAGAATAATTGTTATTCACGATATCTCAGAATTTGTTAATTTCTAACTTCAGCTTTGTATTTACTCAAAAGATAATTTGAGTTCGCTGAGAAGTGAACTTCAAGCTGAGAATAAAATGTAAATCCACTATTAAATGGACTATAAACCAGAAAACATAATTTCCCATTCCATCTTCCATCAGCCTTCGTATCTCGCTTGGATGCTTGCAAGCGTTCCTGTCCAGCCACAACGCCACTTCTGATCCGCGAAGTGGATGAATCTTCTAATGCTACCATTGCTTCTACGGTTCGCCTCTCCACTACTGCCTCACAACGGGGCCTTCCACAGACCAATAGAGAAATCACTACTTCGGAAATGGGTGGAAATAATGAAAGACATCATCGGAAGCAATCTCGTTTAGCAGCTCTCTTTTTAGGGCCACTCACTGGCGGGATTGTCGGCGCTGGTTGGTCAGATTCTAGCAAAGGTGCGGCTAGCATCACTTCCACAGGCCTCGCTATAGCCAATCCGAATACTGGGTCTATTGACGCACCATCCAGTTACACGAAAACAACCATGAGAGAAGATTGCAACGACGGTAAGACGCATAAAGACGCCGAGAGGGTCGGGTGTACAGGACTCGCAAGCCTGACTTTGGGGCATTCTTTAACAGGAGAAAGCGGCACAAAGACCCGGCCGGTGCGACGCGTTACTTACGGTAATGATCCACTAGGGCACTGCAGTGACCGAAATCAGGTCTCGGAGCCACTTATTCAGCAAAAGTTCCGGAAGCGGCAATACCACTTTGAAGCTTCGTCAATTGGAGTTACGCCCTCTGAAAATGAGGAATCAGGACAGGCGCGGCAGCTCAGAGACCAACAGTCCGAGTCGACCATCGAGGAACAGCCTTTTAGGCGGCGATCCACCTGGTACCGAAACTTGTGGGATAACAAGGCGCCGACAGGGACCATTCGGATGAAAGCCAGCCTTAAAAACTCAGGTTTGCAAGCCAGGCGTATAGAAATAGGAAGGACTGGTTTTTAATAATTTGATGAATATTTTATTCAAGCTAAAAGTGAAGCAACAATGCATGAAAGTATCAGGGCTATTTTCCCTCAAGTTTAGGACATGCCATATATGAATATTTATTTTATACTTGTTAAGGGTTTCTTTAATCTTATCATCATGACCTCTTTTATCGTAAGATACAAGACTGTCAACCATTCAATGAAAAAACATGATGAGGTGTTTGATAATTGCGTATTTGATTCACTCTACCTGACGGACTGCTGATAATCCTCTTAATTTTTGCCACATTTTGCATTCTTGCTATCAAATGCTGCACTTATATTTCTGAGGGATGCTAAGCTGAGCTAGGATAAGATATACAAGGAAACAGATTTTGCAATTTGGCTTCGGTTAGCCTATGAAAAAGTTACGAATCTCCCGATAGGACTTCAAATTTTAACATTATCCATAGACATTTAAGCAGCATTTCTGCTCCTTTAAAAATCTATGCTTTCTTCAAAACCATCAAGAATGTAAAGATAGTGACCCGTAAGCGGCAAAATTCACATGATGTCATCATGAGGAGGGATGCTGCATTGAGTCTTAGGTACATCAACATCATATCTCACTCTAATGCTTTAGTTATTCGCTTGCACAACCGCTCAACGAAAATCCTCTCTGAGACTTTCTAGAATTTATTGTGAAGACTTTCATTTCGTATTAAAGTGTTTGATGAAGAGATTCGTAGATCAATCTCATCATAAGACGACGGCTGACTTCTGTTGTACCACAGCCGTTCGGCTTTAACACGATGTTCAGGTTTACGCAGTCCACGAGCCCTCTAACGTTTTAGGCGAAGACGGACTGAGCTTTTGTTCCTCATATCATTTACATCGTCAGAGCCAGGACTCATTCTTGTAAAAGCCTTAAGTTACATTAAACCAAGAAGACTGGCTTTTTTCTATATGATATACATACTCATTGCGAACAAAATTTAAGCTATAGATGAATATAGAAAGGTTTGATTAACTGACATTTACTCATGCGTGTCTCCGTATGTGCACGTGTGTGTGTATGCGTATGTTAACATCTGTACACAAGGTCGGCCATAATTCAAAGTAATTAGATAAAAGCCTAACGTCAACCCCAGGTCATCAAGACTTAATGACCCAAGAAAAAAAAACAACCTGCATTATTGGGTTATTTCACTTATCCTTCCTTAACGTATTTCATGTGAGACCAACTAATTTTATATTAAGCGTCTACTGCATGCTATACCGAGCGACAAACATATATAGGACTCAATTGTTATTTTTCAACCTTTATTTTAGCAACCTAATTGTTGCAGCTTGATATGTAAATAAAGTTAAAACACAGCCTAATTTTTAGTCATCTAATCAAATCAATTCCGCTCATATTATTTGGTTTTCTTTAGAGTGCCTTAAGAGGCTTTGTTAAGTGGATATCAAAGGTGCATTCAGCTATTTCATTTATGGTGATGAAGAATTGATATAAAGATTAACTGGGTTTCGATTAATCTCCTGAGATAACATTATTGTTGAGACTTTCATTTCGTATGAAAGTGTATGAAGAGGAGATTGTAAGCTCGATCTCAGCAGAGGAGGACGGTTGAATCCTGTTGAGAATTTTACAAGAATGAGTCCTAGCTCTGATGATGTCCATCATATGATAGACGAAAGATGAGCCCGTTTTTCACCTGAAAAGAGGAAGGTCTCATGGACTGCATCAATCTCAGGATCGCATAAAAGCCAAACGGCTGCAGCACAGTGGGATTCAACCGTCTTCTGGTGAGGTCGATCTTCGCATCTATTCTTCATACACTTTCACACGAAATTAAAGTCCCAACAAAAATTGATAGTTGAATTTTATCACAGTGATATGATTTTTCCCTATGCTTATATTGAATTTCACATAGGACTTGCTTCCCAAAAGGTATTCTCCTCCACATTGCATTGAACTGCAATGTCGACCTCGCCTAGGCCTAATCAGCTCTGGTAGTGCAGCATATAGTCTTGACACGTTAGCCTATGTCTAGGCCTCTTTGAAATTCATTTCTATCCTGTGACAAAAGGGTATTTGTGACAGTTTGGCACAACGGTTAACGTATCGAGGCCATACGCTGCAATGCCCGGGTTCGAGTTCTTTCAGAAAGCATGGTGAGACCTAGGCCAGGTCGAAACTGCAGCCTACTGCGGCTTGGATGAGAATATCTTTTGGGAAGCAAGGCTATATGAATTGTAATGGGGACATGAGGCCTATTCATACCATTGTGGCAAAATTCAACTACCAATACTTCATCATTTTTGGCGAAGTAGGGTGAATGCAACTCTTATACCATATCTACTGATAGTCTCAAAAATAACTATTTATAACTTGAAAATTCGTTAAGTGGACAATGGCAGAAATTGGCACTCAATTTTATTTTCGAAAGACTACACTTCCAATTATGCATTGAAAATCCGTTTATTGCGCTAATTTACTTAATATATCAATAGGATGCAAAAAGTGTCACATTTATTCACA